ACTTTGAATTAGCCCCCTTGTACCCGGCTGGGCGGGCTGGCCTTTTGGGCCATGCCAATAGCCCGGACACCTTCTCCGTGCTGAATATATATTCTGCCCGAGTATTTCGTCTTCTTTCGTCTTTAGGGAGTCTCGGGACGCTACACTTATGTCAAGTTTAACGGCCATGTGTGCCCAAGGCCGACAACAAAGCAGATGGTATGAACACGCGTATTCAGTGACCACTAGACCCTTTCCATTTGAAATACCGTCGATGAAAATGGATGAAGAGCAAACTTTGCCCGTGCTACAATGTGTCTTGGAATACCATTGCGCCTAAGCTATCTTGCATACCAAGTGGATAAACTTATTCGTCCAAAAAATGAGTTTTACTTATGCTTTTGTACCAACAGCATAGCACGAGTGTGGGACGTCAGCTTAGTGGATTTATTTAAGAGCTTGTCCTAGCATTTCTATGGAGTTTTCCAAAGGAATGGAGCGTAAAACAAGCTCTGCTTTTTATGGAAGGTAAGTAAAATATTGGGATGTTTCTGACAATGTTATCTTGAAAATTGCGTATACATTACAGAGGTGAAACAGTATGTAAATGAGTGAAGTCAAAAGTCAAGGACATAAGACAGTGCAGAATGAAAAGTCTAATGAATCGAATGAGAAGATTAAACACCACAATCAGCTGCGGCACATAACCTATTTTCCCCGTTCTTACTCGGGATTTCTATGATACAGTGGTTAGTTTATATTGGTACAGAATGGAGGGGAAATGTTTCCCTTTTGCGGTTACGATGTTTCTTCCTAGAAAAAGAAAACATTTGCAGCTAGATATGAAAATGTTTAACTGGTTTAAGAAAGGGCAGACGGGATGGAGATTATTAGCAACTAAGGTTCCTTATTCATCAAAGCAAAGTAAGGGATCTGATCTAGGAAACACCATTATAAACTCCAAGAAAGAGGTTAACTATGTCACTCACCAAAGAAGAATTTTTGAAGTTAAAGTCGGTTTCCAAGGGACAAAGAAGATCGGATCCAAGATATCGAACTCCACCGGCATTTCCACCACCCGTGACATCAAAAATCCTCCGTAGTGAGGATCGCCGCTCTATTAGCTATAGGAATAAGGGGGCAGTTAGAGTGAAGTGGATCACATTATTCCCAGAAGCCTTTTCACATTTGCGTAGCCATAATTCAGATGCTAGTGATTGACACTAACTGAAGAAGCACCTCTACCACTGCATGATTACTTCAGACCTTTTCGTTGGCATCAACTTTTGCATTCGTTGATATTTTGGTACCACAGAAAAATTTATCGCCTGTGCATGCTTTGAGGTGATCAGCGCAATGGAATAACCAGTGACCATAGAGTATACATCTCCGCCAAAACACAGAAAGCCAAGAAAACAGCCCAGATGGAAGCGTTCACAAGGTCACAAAAGGGAAAAGGTAGAAGTGAGCAAGCAAGCGTTTTAGATAAGAGTTTTTGTCAACTTATCTGCTGACCATAAAACCCGTTTTTGGTGCGATCCGCTACTACAATAATTGCTGTAACTGCTAGAAACTTGCGAAATGCATACTATTGTTCATGTGTACGCATTACTAAGCATATCCTGTCAATGCGGTATCCTTTATTGCGCTCTCTACTATTCTCTTCCTATTTTGATACATCAACCCCTATCTCATTGAATTCCAGGTGAATGGGAAGATGTGATCTCAATGTGCCGGACTCGGTTCCAAAGCGGTGCCTGCTACAGCTTCTTGTATGGCTTCGTGTAGGGCATTCAGGGAGGGAGCGGTGTGCAGTAGCAGAATGCACAGCCCAGAACCAGATGAATTAAGCAGTGTGACTCTAGTGGTAAATTGCAAACCACTCAAAGATGCTGCTTCGCATTCAGAATGACCTTGTTTTCTCACCATTATGAATAATATTGGTAGTAGTAAAAGTAAAAAGCGGATATCACCGTGTCAAGAAGGAAAAGGTGAGTAATGATGCGGTAAGTCGTGAACATCCACCGCAACTGGGTGGAAGGAAGTGGGAAGGGCAATTCATAGTGGCAGCTGAGTAAATGGGCTCCATCTCCCTACAATAACAGATGGCAAGATTCTTCAGATTACCTATTTCTTCGTCATCTCTTTCACACATTTGGGAAGGATTGTCTGCTGGCTGGATCACACACTGACTGACAAAAAGACCAATTTGTAATGAAAAATGGTTTCTGTATTTCACTGCTAGGCAAATTCACATACCAATGATTGTATCAAAACTAACCACTCACTACCCACCACCAACTACACACTTCTAAGGCCCCAATTACTCATGAAGGTCTCTGCCTTGTGTGCGTGTACATGCGTTGTTGGTGGTAGTAGTAATAGTAGACCACAGGAATAACTGCTCTATATGAATTATTAACTTGCTGAGGCCAAATAAGTAAAGACAGGATCCCTTTACTGAAAAGGACTGGTCACGCTTTGTGGTACGAAAGAAAAATCTCTCTTCTTTTTCTTCCTTCCCTTCTTCTGCCTCAGGAACAACGAAGACTAGTCAGGCAATGGGAATAAAGTCTTGTTCATATATTCCTATAAGACAATGCGAGAAACGAAGGTAGTTGATGTTAGTTTCTGCTCTTTGATTCTATCGACATAAGGAGCCCACTCTCTTCTCCCGCCTTGAGTGATTCCATTCCAGCTGACTGCCATTATCACGGACTTTGTTCCTACCTTTGCATTTGAATTTTTTTTCCAACAAGCATCCCTAGTGGTTGATGCAGATTATTAACCACCGAAGGCGTCGCGAACGACGCCGCAATGAAGATGAGGCCTACGTGGCTGAATGATCTCGGGTTTAATAGCAGGTGTCAATCCATAATCTTCTCCATTCTTCAGTCATTCGGCTTTCATGGTATGATGTAGGAATGAACCTTCGTCATATATGTCAAGATTAAAACGAGCTCTGCACTGCTGTACAATTAGTCATTGACATCTACATTTGCATAATCAACTTGTGTGCAATGCAGTAACAGGGAGAGGCATGGGAGATAATCCTTCCTACCTGGCAGTCGACTTCGACTCGTTGATAATGTTGTTTTGGCTGTGAAGGGTTTTGCTGAAGCATAAAATTACTGCGCCGTTTCTTGCAAGTCGTCTTCTATATCAGCAGCAAGAGAATCTGGTAATAATTTCTTACTCTCTCTGTACCCTGTAATAAAGCAATTTTCATGTTCATATGCCTTATAGCAAAAGATGGAAGTAACTCGAGCCAATTCACCTTGAGTTTAGTGGAGGGGTTGAGGGCAGGCACGGTAGTGGTCATGTCGTCGGTAGAGCACTGTTTGCGGTGGCAGAGGGAAGAATCGAGGAGGTTGGCAAACTCTGCCGACAGGTGGCGACGTAGTAGCGTACGCTCTGGCCCTATGTCGAGCAGAGCTGCGAGTGTCTCCACCGTGAAACGGTCCTCGTAGAGCTAAACACGACACCAAAGGTAAATGCACGAAGCAAATAACAGACTCAAAACAGATTCGGAATCAATCTAACTATTCGGTACTGAGCAATTAGAATGTTAGATGACCAGCCTGTCAAGCGATTCGTGGCTAGAGAAACGGTAGGGTGTACCAAGCTGTTCAGAGTGATCCCGGTTCACGGCTGTAACTTCGGGTAAACTCACTAAAAGAGCGCCATGAAGGCCACTGCTACGAAGGCCCGAAGCATATTCGAGCAGTTCGATTTCGCAGAGCCAGGCCTCCACCCGATGCAAGGTCCATAAGGCGAGAGAGGACGGAGGTGGCAAAGAGGAGGAGAGGGAAGGCGAACGGCAGGTCGAGGTGGGATCCTGCGATAGCGTATTTTCCCTGCAAACTGTATCTAACAAGACTGACGTCGATCTGTGGAAATAAAAGTAGCAATATGATGATGATATGTGACACAAGTGCTAAATCAAAAATACTTAATTTATGGTAGTGCTATTCTGGACTTGTAAGCTTTGAGACATTATTTAACTCTGTTTTCAGTTTCATGCAAATCTACATTGTGGGTTTTGAGACAGGCAGCAGTCATTGACGTACCGAGGGGCGCTTAAGGGTGATTTCAAGGTAGGTGGCTGTGCCAGCCGGAGGGCAGGGGTGGAATGCGCCGATTCCATCATAAATGCGGGAACTTCGAGAGATCTTTGTGAGAGGTCATCAGTAGTACCATTGTTGCAACTCCGTGGCAGAGCAGAGCAACTGGTGCTGATTGGACATCGACAAAGACGAGTGAGGTCAAAGTTGAGCTGACGCATGAGCTGGAGGCCTCGTCGCAAAGAGACCATGTGCAACTCACTATTCACTCCCAGTGTTTGAAGCTCCGACTAAAAGATGATTCGAAAGGCTCTGCACTTTCACGAATTAGCTTTGAAGTAGAGAAGGACAGAGCAAGACCCTTAAGTCTTCCCTTGGTTTAGCACTCGCTAAATAAGGGGAAGCTAAACTATTTGGATAATATTATGCATGCCAATATCTTGGACAAGCTCCGCTTCACTCATTCGCACACTGTCGACGATGCTCTCCCAGACCTGTCAATGCAAACTCCATTAGCCCGATTGTTTGACAGAGGTATTCAGTGGCCGTGGTGGGTATGCGTATTCGCCCTCTCTTGATGACTTTTCAATGCCCCTCTAGAATTTGGTCTGACTCGTTTCCCTCAATGGGTCTAAAATGTCTGTCCCGGTGTTTCAGCAAGTTAATGTGTCAACAATGCCCAGTGAAGTCTTCGTGCTCCACACGCATATGAAGGGGCATGCGGTGGTCCAGAATGCTTTTAATTGCGCAGTCTAGGTGCCGGGAAAGTAGATTTATCCCGATGAGAATCGAATCTAAGTGTAAAACAGACAATCTCACCAGAGTGAGTTCGTGCAGAAGGTAGGCATCGATAAGTTCGGCTTCAAATCTGGGCTTGTACATTGGAAGACCGATGTCGTCGAGCCAGGCTGGAAGTGAAGGTGGCGGTAAGAAGAGGAAGGAAATCCAAGATTTCCCACGACACGATAGCACAAACTGTTGAGTTTTAATCAGTGAATGAAGAGGCAGAAACCACTGACGTCTGCCAAATGCACTGGAATAACTGAAAAGCACAAAAAATGATGATGAAGAAGCACGTACTGGAAACGTCGAAACCCGGATGAGGTGAAATGCCAGGCAGGAATGCGGTTTCGCGTGTTGCCATCATGTCTCGTGTTGTGCGTAAGCTGACGTGGATCAGGAGTTTCTTCAGGTGAAGTGGTCTCAACGGACCTAGATTCTAAATATGTCAAAATAAAGATGAAAGTTTGTTGTTCACGTCGATATCGTGCAAGTTAAGATACGTATTTTATGGAATTATTTTGTGTCTTTAACATTTTCTGAAAAGTCTTGGGGAGCTACCCAATGCATACTCAAACCAATCATATTAAATGCAGCATGACTGTCAGTGTTCTCTTCTTAGTGTAACGCCTCTGCCATATTCTAGGCGAAAAGGGTGCCGATTCAGTCAATATTTTAACGAAGAAAATGATAACATTCTAGACCTCAATTGCATAAAGCTTGTAATATCAGCCAATAGCCCCATTTTAAAAAGTGACCCCCAACACCTAGGTTTTGTCGCGCTAGAAAAAGTGGATTTGTTGATGAATCTCACCCCTCTGTTCCAGTGACAGTGCACCTAAGAGGCCACAACATGGCGATCGTGGCAGCATGATTCACCCGACCCTTTTTCACAACAACCAAGCACTCACACTGGTGTATCTTTGGTTGCACCCTCACATATCCATATTAAGTAGATTCTCCTAACATTTTCACATTTTGTTCAGAATTTACTCCAAATTTTATCGTTTTATCGGTGAAGCAGCGACTTTCCTAGCCAAGGCGATGGGACGGTACACAGACACATGTTAAACAACACCGTAAATTACGACCTACTTCAACGTGGTTGAAGCAATCAAAACTTCTAAGCCAATCATTCGATAACTCGGATTTTCCACCATCGACTAACCTAATCCAGGAATTGTTAACCTGTGCTTTTTTTCTGCCATGGCAACTACCAACACCATATCTCCGCGGCCAAAATTGCAAAATGGAGGATAAGATACCGATCAGGGGAATGGAAATCCCTTTCCCGGACCTGCTGGAGCTGAGCGTTGTTGGCATTGATAACATCAGCGCCACTTCGGATCCAGTTCCTAGCTGCCATCTGGCAGTACTCCAGTCCAAGTTGCTGAAGGAAGTCGCAAACTTGGTCGACCGACCAATCCTCAAAGTCTGTGCATGTTGGCCTACATGGAAAGTGAAATGCCGTGGCTAGAGATAACTGGAAGGCAAATAGATGTAAACTCATTCACCATCCTTCCACATCCTCGCATTCTACACAAGTAAACCATTGCATACTACGCACAAAGAAAATTCACAAGTGTTTTTGTGGTTCCTCGATGTGGCACCTGAGAATCTACGCTAGCTATAGCGAGGGAATACGAACAAGGATGGCTACATACACGACCGCTGAGTCACATCAACTTGTCTCATACATTTATGCAGCCTGAATACGCAAGTCAAGTACGATCTTGCCACCTAAAATCGGACAGTCCATTCCTTCAGGCATTCGATAATGGTTAGTGCTGTTAGAGGGGAGTAGCCTCGTATTCGTTTGCAAGGCCAAGTTTGACTGGTTATGCCTGAGTTCTGAGATATATTCATTTGTTCCTACGACTAACAACCTTGGGATGCGTGAGCACCTAAAAGACTGAGCCGAACCTACTAGGTGAACCCATTG